TGTACAAGCTTATTGCGAATCTCGTCAATGGATCTACGTCGCTTGGGCGTATAAACCTTGACGCACTTCCCTACCGTGCTAGGAACATCTGTGCTACTCTCGGAACAGTGCTCCAAGTCCTTTTCGACTTGTGGAAGGCAAGATTGCGACAGCGTAGAGGTGCTCTGATCGCTTTCGTTTACGTCGCAGGAAAAATCACAGCATTGCTCGTACAAGATAGGTTTTAAATCGAGATTATGACAGTACGCTTCGTCTCTATTGCTGTTTGTGCACCTGCTTTGTACTTGGTTTACCATACCAGCGTGCGTGAGCACGGTATTCGTAATAGTATCGCTTTGTATACTTATATTTATGTCAGACGTTGAGAACGTTGCGTCCACCGCATCCTTCTTGCAGGCATCGATTGCGCTCGATTCTTCGTACAAGGTGTGCTCCAAATCGTGCTCGGTGCCTTCAATCATGTCGCTCTCTAAAGATTGATTCTTACTTGAGCTTATATCGTTATTATTGCTATTTGCACAGACTGTCGTACTCTCATCCATGCTTAGTGTATCACATCTAACACAGACGTAATCATCTTCCGTGATCGAGTTGTTTGCAACTTTTAAACTACAATCACCTCTCTGCTGCTTTAGGCAACTCTCCAAATTGTCCAAAATTTTCTTGGAATCAATAGTATCGATCACAGATACCAATTCTTTAACCTGGAAAGAATAACAAAACATATATCAATTTTACATACTGAAATAATTGTAGAATATTTTATTGATCAAAACGGCCGCTGTGTACCTTAAAAATTTGTGCTGCAGTGTGCAACGATGATAAATGCTGATGAGATATCGTAGTTTCGCCGCAATACATGAATTCGACCATGGCCTTCAAAATTTCAAAGTCCAAGTCTTTTAAAAGTATAATTGGCTCTTGCCCCAAATCTTGTTGTAGTATTTCCTATTGTGCAAAACAGAATAGAACATTATAAGAAATATTGAAGAGATAAAATTCAAAGTGACAGAACATAGGCAAAATTGATAGTTAAAGAATAGAGAGAGAGAGAGAGAGAGAAAGACGTAGAATGTCTACGTGGAATGTCCATACAGAATATTTAATATTTTCGAATATTTATTTTAACGTATGCTCTTGATTTGTTCTTCAAACTGTTGGATATCACTTTGTGCACTAATGACTTATCAAGTTGCGTACAGAAAGACAGTGAAATCATGCAGGCAAGATATTTACATGTACCTTGCGAAGTAATAAATATGTCTTTGGAAAACGGAAACGCCTGAGTGTACATACTTTATTATCCTTAGATCATATAATTTAGTTATTTAATACCTTTCTAAGTTCTTCGAAAGTTGTGAAAATTGTATGCCCCCTCAAACTTGGTTTCTTCAAATGTTTGTTAAGAACTACTGAAATTCCGATATACAAGGCTTTTTTTAGTTTACATGAATTTTATATTATCCCTGCAAAATTGTTCTACCATAAGTACACTATATTTCCCAATTTTGATGTAAATACAATAAAAGTACCTTTCTTCTCTATATCACTCTGTTTTATATGTTATCAAATAAAAATGTCCAAAGTCTTTTTCTATCAATGTAAAATGTTTGTGGCAGACATTCTAGTGAAAAATGGGTTAGTAAAATATCTATTTGGCTTCGAACTAACATGGTATTGGTAGATTTTCAAGTAATGTATAGTACATTTGTATAATTATATATAATAACCCTACGTACAAAGTGTATTTTGTATATAATAACGGTATGTATGGAAGTTTCTTTGTACTCTTCAAAATGACATATAAGAAATTTTGATTATTACTTTAATAAAACAATAAATATGATCATGAAGATATACTTTCAAATTGTCATTACATACATCAAATTGTCTTACTTCAACGAGCAAACAATTATATGTTCTTTTAATCAATAAATAATTCCACAAATAAACAACGTAAAATAATTAAAAAAGATAACTTTGACAATGTTCATTCAATAAAACATTAACACTGCTCTAGTATTCAGTCATCAGTAGATCTGAAAGGAAAAGAGATGCACATCCAAACATTAATTAACATCAACATATTAGCAAGTAAATTTAATTAAAAATAATTTTTGTAACAAGTCAAAATACAAGTGTAAATAAATACAAGTACAACCAGTTAATGTGTCATCATCCTTGTAAAATGCAGTTCTCTTTTATCTCTCAACTTTTTATCTTTATAAAATAACATCGTAGTCATGTGTTAAAATAATCTTCTATTAATATACTATTTCACAAAACATTTGCAATAATTGCAGAAAAGAACTCTTGTTTCTTGTATAAATTTCATAATAATGTTTGACGATATGTTCAGAAAGTAGCAAAACATGCCCTCTGACCGGAGCACTTTTAGTAGGTATTTTGTAAACACTTGTGCAATAATCAAATCTCAAAGTCTGTAACCAGAGCCTCGAATTTAAGCAGTGGAAGAATTGTCTCTCTAAATAAATGCGTGATAATATTATACTTACAATATACACAAACAAACACTCATAAGGAAGAAATATCTCTCATTTTCATAAATGCACCGTAGACACAAAAAGTACACACATTTTCAGGCACCGAGATGTGAATGTACAAATAATTGAAACATGTAAAAACATATCAACGCAATTTTCCGAACATACATACGTAACACGATATGATTAGCAAGTAATGGGTGGATAATGAGAAACATTCCAACATTTATGTATACGTACCTCAAAGTATATACTATTTGAAGCTAAAACCAGCTTGTGAACACGTAGCTTTTGTTCATCGCAGATCAGTGTGACATCGACTAGAGCCTGGCGTGCCAAAAGACCACTGAACCTTTCTGTAATATATCCTGCATGGCCGGCCCATTGCAGGACACAATCCTTTGGTATCTCAACCATGGCTACTGCAAGAGGAAAGTTAATAAGATTAATACTGACCGTGCAATAAGATTAATGGCGAACATACGGCAAGAGTGACGGTAAATCTCCCACAAGGAATATCGGGACTTATTTGTCTCGAACGTTTCTGTGTTAACTTAAACCCCATCGACGCCATATTCGAGACCGAATATCAGCACCATGAATTCACCACAAAGAGCACGTGTTCCGACAAGTAAATTTTGGCAGAGCTGGAATCTATTACGTAACAGAGAAAATGGGACAAACGACATGGGTCGTTTCAGATAAACTCTAGACGGACGTAAAGCAGATGCGTGTGAAGGGACGGAGCCGGCAATTTTTCCACCAGTTATCTCAAGCTCTGACTGATGAAACTCGAAGGATGCCCGAGCTCGTGCTAGACGAACAAATAAATTCATCAGAAACTTTCCCCTTCTGCCTCCTGGAACGCACCAAGCTCTTTCACGAAACATGTATACGTACTACATACGAAGGCCGAGACTGGAAGTTCACCAGCGACAGAACGACCGTCTTAAAGAGAACAGCGGGAAAAAAATCTCGGCGAGACTCCCGGATATTCGTGACTCGAGTGAGTTGAGCGAGTTTGCGTTTGATGAAATGGCAATGGAAAGCCGTCCGATCCACGCTGCGAGGATCGGACGTCGATCGTGGATCCCGATTTCCGGAGCAGGCTGGCGTTACTCACCGGTGCGGACGAGATCGTCGTCGACGTGCGCATCTGCGATCGGGTAACGGCGGCGTCCTCCCCGCGTTCGGGCATAGATCGTAGAGGTGAGACGCGTCGGTCGTAACGTCGTTGATGCGGACGCATGCGATCGCGGGTGGCCGATCGCCGGCAGTGGTGTCGCGCGCACGCACGCGTCTCGTCGAGGCTCATGAAACGCCGGCGAGATCGTTGGTCAGCGAAACCGACGGCCTTACACGACATTGGCCTCGCGGATTTGACTTGCACCTTACCACCTCCGATGCGATCGCGTCTGCCAAGAGCACGGTGTAAATAAGAACGTGTAGATGGGCAGATGCGCTCGCAGACGGAAGGCGCGTGCGCGAGTTGTCGGTAATGCAGGGCGGTTGAATACCGACTCGCTGATAACAATTTTACTTGCTATAATAAATGTTTTTTATCAGAAGTCGATATTAATCAGATCTCGAATTGGTTCCACTAAATTTATAAATAGAAATAATTTAACAATAATTAAATAATATAACATGTAACCGTAATACTAGGTTCTATTTATTCTAGCACAATTTACATTTTTTTCATCATTTCGTGTGTACAGACCTATAGCGGGTTCATCAACGGACTATGTTTTGGATCTAACAATAAGGAAGAAATGGCGCCTATAAATATTCGAGCTATATAACTATAATATTAAATTCTAATTATTCCTTTACAATTGACATTTTCATCATATGTGCAAATACTGACTTTTGCATTTCAACATCAACGGACTATGTTTTGGATCTGAGCGTGATTTTTCCTGTGAAGATATTACTTGACATCCATCATTTAAAAAATGCTATGACATCTACTTTGGTATGCAGAAACCTGGCGAAGTAGAAAAATACAACTTTCATAAAGAAAATAATTTACATATACCTTGTGTTATATAATACTAATTCATCTACTAACTATTGCATTAACAATTTGTATTAAATAAACTAGGGTATGTGTTTATTGCGACATTGCGAAGTGTTTAAACTTTACTAATTCTTACGGAAACTTATTTTATGTGACTCATGTATTAATATTACATAAGATGTTATATTTTAGCTTCCATAAACGTTATCTGTCCAATATTTTGTATTAATCAATTTATTAAATTAGATATTACGCTTATATTTAGTTGACAAGTGCCATTTAAGTATATATACCTTTAAGTATATACACATACAACTGATCGAATAAATAAAGTATAATGTTGAAGAAACCCTAACAATATATAATATTAATTTTATTTATCGAGAAAAACTTTACATTAACTCTTAATTAAATTATCTCTTAATTACGAGCGATGCCTGTATATATTTTTTCCTGAGAAGAACACTTCAACCGTCTGTAGAACAAATGTATCACAAGCGATGTCAATCGTTTCTTTATTCGTTTTACAAAAATAAAAATTTAAATATATGTATAATACAATATAACTTTTTCGAAATCGGCATTTCTAAATTACTGTGTCTGTAGAAGGACGTGGGGGAGAAAAAGGAACGTGACGTTCATCGTATTTTAATCACTCTATCTTCTAATTCATTTCGACTTTTCCAAATCCATGCATAACGTATTGATTTAAGGATCTTTGCATGTACCATATCATGTCAATTTTGATAAGAATTAGGTATAAGGGAGTGAAGTTATTGCGCGATGCTATCTATTTGTCAAGCAAGCTAAGGTACAATTATAATTATGATTGAGAAAGAAAATCGGATATCTCGGAGCAGCTGAGAAGAATATGTATTAGATTATATTCTCTTTATGGATCGAGAAAACCTTAACGCCGGACTCGCGTTCGCGCATTCATCCGTGGAATCGAATTTCCTGAATCGTGTCCAGCTGTTTGATTGTTGTCGGCAGGGAGGTCGTGGAGAGAATAGACGCGGACGTCGAAGCTGCAATCGTCTCCAGATCCTCCTTGGACAGATTCTTCATGAGCCAGCTATCGATCACTGGCACGTTCTCCTCGTTCCACTTGGTCTCCTGATTAATGACTCTGAGCGCCTTCTTGATGATGGCGTCCGCCGTTTCGAATTCATCTTTGTGATCGATGTAAAACTTGGTTACCATATCGTAGCCCTCCTGCGTGTTGAACGACGATGTGGCGAAATTGACGATGCCGTCCCAGAGGAAAGTCTTGTTCCCAAATTGCTCCTTCACGGTGTACCAGTGCTCGTGCAAGAAGTTGAACAGGGTTTTGTAGCCGGTCGCGCTGCCGGTCAGCATACTGAAGATCAGGTGGATGTCCGAGTCCGTGAAATTCTCATTCCGGTTCAGCACGGCCACTTGTAACAGTCTGATGCGAAAACCGGAGCGATATTAATATATTTATTAATCACCAACGTGCTTATCCGTCTATTCGTTTCACTCAACGAAATTTGAGTGTCCTATCTCGTGAGGGATACAGTCGAACAAATTGAACTTGCGCCAACGAAACGCGTTTAATTTTTCCTTACTTAAACGGCGCGCATATTCGAACTTTTAAACGGTCCATTTACTTAAACGGCGCGAGCTTAAGTTTGCCGAGAACAACGAGGAAAACAGCTCTCGGGAACTTCGCGAAGATTGAATTTAACTATATTTAGTTGTGTGTTGCGAGAAGCAAGATTTACTCGGAGCTAAAAGCGCCTTGTACGTTTTAAATTTAAAGTAATCGCGAATATACCGACTTTTCGATCTTGTTCGCATCCTTCGGACACCCGGCGAGGGTCTTTAGCAGGTAGGTGCGTTCGTTCTGCTTTCTAGCCAGGCTGGTCTTCGGGAAATTTATAACTCGCTGCAATCCGAACTCCCATTCCTCGTCGGTGCCCCACTTGAACACGGGGCAAAGGAATTTATTGGCGACCCTGCAAAGTAATGACTCTCATTAATTCGATAACGTTATCGACCACACGTGCGATTAACAGGGCTGATCAAAAATACTGCAGTCAATACTGCGTGAACCGAGGCGGCCGAGAGTGCATCTAGTAAATTGTTCGAGTAAATTAATGAACTGTTCGCTGCAACGATTTTGGACACTGACGGGTTTCCTTTATCCGGCTCCTCGTCGGTCAGCCACTTTTTGAATTGATCCCTGGCTTCCTTGACGCAAGGTTCGTATCCAGCGCGACAGAGGAAGTTCTGCATAAGGCCACGCATGTGAGTTTTCCAGGAAGGTTCATTGGACTGCGGATTATCTCCAAGCTCAAAGTAAAGAGGCTTCAGTAAGTTTCGAATGTACGCCTGAAATGAAAAATGTATTTAATTGCTTAACAATTTCTGACGCAAAGAAATCTTATAATGAATACATTGAAGTCCGGAACTGCATTTGGAAATAATAAATTTTAAAACAAAGTATTGAAACGAAATAATATAAAGTAGGAAGAGAAGGATAAAGTGGAAAAGTGAGGGAGCTGGTTAAAGTTAACGAAGCAAACGTAGTATTCAGTATGTAATCTAATTTGCGCCCACTATTTGCACAGTGATATTTCTGACAAAAAAAACTGAGTCGAAAAGTTCCGAGCTATGTTTTTCATTTATACTTTATAAAGTAGCTATTATTAGTTACAAGGTAGCTAATCAGCATCGCTTTTTAACGGACGCACGTTCATGAGCCGCATTAGTGTGCGTCTGTTTAAAAATCGATGCTGATTGACTAATCGTTACTTAATAACTTTATCAAGCACGATTAAAAAAAAAGGCTCGGGACTCTTTGACTCAACTTTCCATGAGGAATATCATTGTATACATAATGGGCACAAATTAGATTACACCCTGATGTAACATTTACCAAGTTTATTACAGATATTGTACGAAATGTAATGCTATATAATGTCGGGTGATCGATATTTAATATGTAGATGTCTGCTTAATACAAATGTTCAACATTGATCACGTCTACCGCGAATTGTCCTATTTTAGCATTGATATTGGCTACTAGAAAGCAACGTTTTCTTACCTCGAATTTCAAATATACGTCCAAGCCCTCGATCCGCCGGCCGATGTGATGAATCATGGTGAACACCGGCTCCCAAACCACGTGGCTCTTTTCCCCCTTGAGGAAGAGAGTCATATTCAGAGCCGTGCCGAAGCACAGCTCGCCGGCGTACGCCAAGTTCCATGCGTCGTGCAGAAGTTTCGCTCTGGTTAACGGAGGTATCTTCTCGCGATCTGGTCCTTGCAGATACTGCGACAGCATCTTCCAGTTGCACGTGTCGTAATTCACCGGGAACATACCTGCGAAGAAGCACTACTAATCGCTAAAAAGAAAGAAACCATTTTGTGCGTTTCCACACGTGACGTACGTATCTATAAATATCTTGAATCGAGCTACGATAACAATTTTGTTTTAATTTTGAAGACGCATCACAGAAATGATAATTATAAACGTGCAAAATGTAATGTATCGAGAAAAATGGCAATTAAATGGCTTGAAAAAATCGATACTGCCAGGAAAAAATTGCTTGCCTATTTCTTCGGGGTTCACAATGATGAAATAAGTTCTGTTGGTAATGTCCGCGATAGTGAAATTCTTCGGTACAGTTTCTCTCTTTAGCCATACGGTCGGTTTGGTATTGTCGAAGTTTAGTTTATCTTGTGCCTGCATCACGATCGGGATGTCCCACTGATATCCTACTTTGGCCGTCGATTGCGGTGGTACATCTCTCAGATAGACTTTCTAGAAGGCGCGAACGAGATGTTACGAAAGAGGATATGCGCAATTAGATTTGCATTTCTCGATTTTATTTTTAAGAACGATTTAAATTGAAATCTCCACACGTTATTCTTATCTTTTCATTTACCAGCATTTATGTAAATAAGTATAATGAAGTGGCAAAAAATTTTGATAAATATAAATTTGAAATAAGATAATCTAAAAACTTGTTAATTTCATGTATCAGAGAAGAAGTATAATAGACTAGATTATCAAGAATTTAATAACAATATAATCTGAAAATATCGGAATCTACCAATGGGTGGATTTAACGATCCGAGGACTCACAAATTACACGTGGTAATTGCGACTTCTTCTGACTAAATTATGTATTTCTATAGGAGTGAGGCTCCTGCAAGTATTGCGCAACACATGTTTGTGCGTTCGTAAACGCACAAGTCCTTGATTTTACTATTGTTCTGGAGCGACGCGATTCTTGTAATGCGTGTTGCTTTGAAAACTAAAAGTGCTTGTTAATGCAATCGGTTATGCAAATATTTTTTCACGATTAAGTTTATCAACGTTGATATTTCCCTGACTGTGGAAAACATGTATGTTTCAGATAGAACGATGCATTTTATTAATTATCAATTAACTTGGTTGCACGTGGCTATCATGTAGTGATATTTTATTCTTACTATTTACAGTAAAATATATGTTAATGTATTTATCAAAATTACATCTTTATTCTCATTCTAGTATATACACTGATAAAAAAATATCTTAATCCAAAAAAGTATTACTTTACTCAAGAAAAGCATTTACTAGGTGGCTCTTAATAGCTTATTAACTTAAATTAAAAAAAGAATAAACAAATGAAAACATGCATTTCTTTAATTTAAGTTTTTATTAAACACAAAAGACTAGATGTAATTTCTTATTTAACAAAAACAACTATTTTATTTAATAAATAGTATTCTATATCTCACGAAATCTTTATTTGAATGTAGAAAATGTAATGATTTAAATTAATTTACTTAATATATTAAGATTTACTTTAAATTTGACTTTTTTTATTTAAACAGAATAAATATTTACGCTAGTGAAAATAATTTGAAGTAAATCTATTTATTTAGTTTAAAAAAATTTCTTTGTCAGTGTACGCATTTTTCCTAAAGTTTTTAAATAAATAACGAAGTACTTGAGAATTTCTTCGTCAGTTTCATTCAATGAAAGCATTTAGCGTAGTAGAGTCAGTATTACAGTATTGTTTGTTAATACCCGCTGAAGCGAATGTAACTTCCGTTGACGAGAGGAATGCTTTAACCGCGAGTAAATAGCATATACGTGATCATCTTCGTTGCTCTTTATCTGTGCGAAAATCGCCTCTGCCTTCCCGCGTCGCGCGTCCTTGCGGGAAATAACGCTTTTGTCCAGCTTACCTGAGTGAGATTAATTTTTCCAGTTTCGTAATCGCGAATGACCGTGACCAACGGCACTCTGTCCCGATTGATCCACGAAGCGGCGATGCCGTTGATGGTCAGACCCGGTGGCAGATTGTCCGTCTCGTTCGCCACATCGTTCAGATAAGTGAAGATATCGTTGGCGAAGAAGGTTCTGCGATCTCTAAACGTGAAAGGTACAATATTTCGTGATTTACAGAGTTTGCGGCCGATCCGTTGCTGGTAAAAATAGTCGGGAAGCAGTGCGTAACGGAAATAACTTGAACAAAAAATCTCAGTTGCGTCAGGAGAATCTTCAGCTGCTTGCGAACTTGATTAAAAAGTTAAAAACTTAATTTACTTCTTTGTGTGTTTGCAGAAAAAACGGAAGTTTGCTTTTACGTAAAAACGCTCGATTGCCGAAGATTAGAATCTGCTTCCCAACTAATTGATGGAGGCAATTACTACTCTTTCGATTGCTGATGGAAGAAATTCCTCACGCTCCTTTGGAACAGGTCGCGCCCAAGAGTATAATTAAGCATTCGGAAGACCAACTCGGCTGTAAAATTCCAAAAGGTGGGATAATTAAAATTTCATTAACTTACATAATCACTCGAGGCTTCAATTTTACTTATATACGCGATTACCTGCTTGCCATTATCCTCTTTTTATATTGTGATACTCCAACTCTTTTCTCGAATGTTAGCTTTGTGAGTGATACATAGATATAATACATTTTCTATCTTAAAGGCCTGCGTCCACGATGCTAGAATTTGGTCCAAGTTCTAATTCCGAGAAATGCGTAGCCAATCAACTTGCAGCTATTCCATAAAAGCTATTCCATAAAAGCTGCAAGTTGATTGGCTACACATTCCTCTAAACTAGAACTTGGACCAAATTCACTTTATACAGGTATTGAATTACCGCAATTTATTTCAATTACCTTTTGTCCATGTTGCTTCTTGCCTGATGCCAGCCACCCTTGAGAAAGGTGCCGTCTGCGCAAATTCGTAATACAGAGGATACAACATTGTCATTGGCCATTTCCCTGCCATCTCGTTTGGATTGAGCTGTTTAAAACACACAATCAATTGCCCGGAAATTAATAATGTCGCGAGTTTTGTTATAAAAATATACCGTAGAGTGGGGTAACATGGAACAAGGGTGCAAGTTGGAACAAAACTTCCAATTTCATATTTATGCATTAAAATTCGGCAACGTCTGCAAGAAAGCATTCGAGTTCAACGCTAGTTTTGGTTTAGCCCATATGTACGCTCAATTCTTGCAGACGTTGCCGGTTTTAATGCATAAATATGAAATTGGAAGTTTTGTTCCAACTTGCCCCCTTGTTCCATGTTACCCCACTCTACGGTAGCTAATACAGAGCCACTAAAATAATATTTTTGCCATTTGATATTTTAAAGTAACTACGGAAGCACTACTTCAATAATTACAATCGTAAGAGATGTTGCTACAATTAAAAATAAAATGTCACAGACTCACGTCGATCGTCGCCATGGACGCCAAGAACGAATTAAGGGCTTTGTTAACCGGCGCGTCGTTTCGTTGATACGGCGTTACGGATTGGCCGATCCATTGGTAGAGAAGCTCGTACGTAGTCGTCCAGACTAGAGAACTGCTGAGTTCACTTTCCCTGAAAGACGACACTTATTTTACATATGCCACATTGCAAGCGATGTAAGATTATTCTTGTAGATTTTTATGTACTTGAAGAACATGAGACCCCAATTGTCGGAAGCTTTAGAAGCGCTGAACACTGGAATCGCCATGACGTCCAATTTCGGTAAACCGAGGGAGCTATTGAAGTAATCTTGCAAATAATTAACGATTCTCACAACTTTGTTGGGGACACTAAGCAGCGACTCCATGAATTCTTTGCGACTCCAAACCTTCACCCGCAATCTCTTTCCATCCATCTCGTTAACTTCCTGCGTCGGCTCGATCCTTTGCAGATCCGATATCACGAGGGCTAGCTGATGCGTCGACATTCGAGGTGTCTCTGCGAACACTTCCTCGATCTTGTCGGGCGATTCTTGCCGAAAGCTTAAACAAGGGATAAATATTAAAAGTAATATTCAATTACTGGTAGGCTTGAAAACATAAGGCCAGCTCGTAAAACTCAATGGATATTTTTTACATTTGGAAATCCATGCAACCCAGCAATCGAATTAGAAAGGTTCGACATTAACGACTTTGCTATACGTACATTGACGGCGTGTTCGTGAGTGCCGTTAAGCCTTTAGGATACGATACGCTCAGCTTGAAAGTCGCTTTATAAGGTGGTTCATCCATGCAGGGGAACATCCTCTGTGCGTTGTCTAACTGTAAGTAAGTGGCGATGAAGGGTCTGAAAAATAAAAAGGCAGATAAGTGACACAAGGCAGTTATAAGACAGTTAAAAAAGAATTTCTATTATCATACAAAGGTCTTCAAATTTTTGTACGAATCACACGCTATTACTTGGCGAAAAATTCGGGGCACGCCGTCGATTGGTTCTGTGTGATTTTTAAGTTCTATTTTGAATAAGTTGTTACTACACTTACTGTTTTCGACCGTCGGAAATCATGTATGCGCTTTTGTAAAGGCCGGTAGTCTCGTTAAGTGTAAGGTTCCCAAAGTACGTGATGTCGACTTCGCAGGTACTTCCTGCCTTCAGCATTTGTTCCAGATGGATAATGTACCAGGCTTTCCTAGTTTGCCGTTCGGTCCTTGCGATGTTGAAGTATTCCTCACCCTTCCTACGTCACAAACGTGACAGGATACGCGTTTTTATTGGCTCCAAGATTTTAAAGCTCGTTATTATGAACAAACGAATGATAAGAAAACATATTTCAGTTGCGCTATTATCGTTATATGAGCGCAGTTAGCAATAATTACTTAGAACTCTAGCTGAGAGGAATTACCAGAATCGCTGCTATAAAAATGCATTGACTTTGCGCAAAAAAAGTCACTAAATGGGAACTTGACAATCCTTTTTAAGCTACGAGATTTTTATGTTAATTAATTAAACTATCTCCTTACACTTCATCGCCCGGCGAATTGAGCAGTCGAACGGTGACTACTGAAACCTCAAGATCCTCATGCATGTTCAATGTTATCCTATCGCTGATGTCGTGCGCGGTGAAATTAATCTTGACACGACCGGTAAACTGGTTGGCCTGGATGAAGGGTATTTGGATATCCAAGGCGTAACTGGTCGGCCTAACTTCGGCAGGTAATCTGTACTGACGCATTTTCGTGTAGTAGACATCGTTCAGGTCGATACTGCGCTTCCATCGGCCCTGCGGTCAAACGAGAAAGTTCTTACTCCGACAGTCGGATTACCGTGACGGTCTTTTAATTCGTCGACACTGTACTTCGGTATCACTATGGCTTCGAGGAAGACTGGACGATATCGCCGATAGTAGAACGAGTCCTGACAGCAACGTTGCCCACATCATGGTGAATGGCACGGGGTGAACCTGAATATTGTGGTTGGTATTCAGTGCAAAGTTATTCAAACGTCCACTTGCTTACAACAAAGATTGTACTTTCAAGTTAATTCGGTACGAAGCAGTTTGGTGTCAATTGAAGAGTCCAGTGTCACAACAGCAGGTAATACCTTTTATTTTTTTCTCTAAGCTCTTGGAATTAATATATTAAACTCTGAATGATTTAGAATAGTCACTTTGTGAATTTTATAACTTGGCCATCGCTGAATTAACGACGTAATTAAAATAAATCAGAGTTGAAACGGAGTAACATGGTGGTAGTTGAAGGGTGCAACGTTAGCTGAATCCTTTCTTCAAAACTTGGAAAAGATTAAATTTAGAATTGCAAAAAAAACTAGATTTCTTAAAAATCGAAAGGTGGACCAAGCCATCTTCGCACTTCTCGGTAGCAATAGTCTCAATAAAATTTTGTGCTGCTTCCATGAATGGAGTACTCTGACACTTGGCAGAAAGGGTTTACTTCGCGTTCTGAGAAATCGCGGCTTAATCGATTCCGGGTGCTTACGGCGTTATCCTCGCGGTAGGCGTGCACGCCTGAGGGACGCAGAGGACGATCTGGCAGCGGCGCGCGAACGCGGTTCACCAAGAGCCGACTCGGGTGTCGCCGGTACCGCTGCACTGCCACGCCGGTTGACCTTGATACCCCTTAAAAATCGAGGCGACTTCCTCTGGGAGGAGGTCGCGGGAGGATTTCTGGAACGACCGCGTGATAGCGTGGCCGCGCGCGAACTGTCCTCCTGAGTATCACGTACCCCGTTTCTCCGTGCAGGCCTGGTCGCCAAAAAGCGGCGGAAACGCGCGGAAAAGCCGCACCGGTCCCGCCGCTCCCGCGTGATGTAACACCCCGCGGATCGGATTCAGATCCACTTAGGGCAAATCGGCGGATCGTCCATCCATTATCCAATCTGACGATCGCGGCCGTCGCCGCTGAAGGGGAGCCTAATCGCGGCGGTGTCAATCCGGATGCGGCGAAGAGACGACGACGTCAACGGCCAATCTGCGGTCGACGGTGTCGACTATCAAATGGGGAACAAAGTGCGTCTCGGGCATCGCCTGTCGCAAGGACCTTGGCGCCATTGTGCTCCCCTTTGGACACTCCGTACCAACATGCGTACTTGTCTGTATTGCGTCGCCATCGCCAATGACACGTGCCGTTGATCTGCATGCCGGCTCCTGGTACCGACCCCGGACCAAGCCCAATGTGCACTTGGACCACGATACCGTGTCGCCTCAATTGAACTTGATGGAGTGTTTTTGTCCGCGAGTTCTTCTCCCGTGGGGTTCTCCCGTGCAATAACTGGGTTAGTTCTAAGCTGTATCGAGAACGCGACGAATTCGACAATGTTATCCGATATCTCATACATTTTACAAGAATTGACAGGAATTTGGAAGACATCTTGCTTTAGCATTACCGCTGTAAATTGAAGATGCGACAACTTGATTTGATTTTCTTCAGCGAAGCGTAATCAGATTTTGAAAAAAAGATAGACAAGAAACCTTTATACTATACTTTGCATGTGCAAAAAAATTGAAAATTGTATAAATTAAAATATAAGAAAATAGGGAACTTTATGAAAATCGCTGTTAAAGAACATTTGTTGTAAACATTCAAGCGTTATTTAGGGATACTTTAATGTTTGTTCTAATTATAAGAAATGTTGTTTTTATAATAAAAACATTTATCACAAATAATAAAAGTATTTTCTTGCACGTTGAACTCCCGTTTTATTCGCCTCCTGTTTAAACCGTCTTTTTTTAATTATCGCCATTAATTATTATTTTGGCGACCAAGGAAAAAGAACTTACAGCACTGGTCAACTTCATCTCCTAATCACGATGCTGTGTTATCATACTAGACTTGGTTCCACGCGTTACGACAAAGAGAAGGCTGTAAGGCGCGCGGAAAAGTTCCGATAGCAGCTCTAATCGCGAATTATGGCAGAAGCGCATAAGGATAAGGAGCGGAACGAACGTCGAGAACGACACGGAGAGCCGGCGAACAAAGAGCATAAGTGGGGGGCACCCGCGAGTGTTTCTCGGCCAACATCCACACACGGCACCGCAAGGTAGGCTAATTGCAGTTGTACCTGCGTCACCTGTGCGCCGCCGCGCTCGCGATTTCGTTTCCGCGTTGGATGCGCATTCGTTCTCCAAAGCCGCCTTTTCGCATTTTCGCGTATTTTCGTTGTCGCTCTTCTCGAAAATATCTTCAAGTATTATTTCTTCACGTTGGAACAATGCGACGAGGATCCGTTAGCAGTTGGCAGTCCTATGGACAGCGAAATTGTAAGTGATAACAGCTGTTTTTGCTTCTGCCGTCGTTGCTTTCGTGCCTCTAAACTAGCGTTAACGGAATTTCACTTAAAACAGAAATCTTGATCTTAAAAAATTAACTTTTCGATAGTAATTTTTTAATTAAATTAAAAAAAATTAATGTATTTGATTTTAAACCCTTATTAAAAGATTTATAAGTAAAAGAAATATTTAATGTCAAATATAAAAATATAAAAGTATTGCATTATACATTTAAAGATTAAATTTTCATTTATTCACTGAGATGTCAGCGGACTAAAATGGAAAACGAATTAAGCTTTGTAAAGTAAAGTAATATTATTTAAAGTAAAGAAGAAAATGTGTTTATGAAAATACATTTTTACTCTATAAGTTAGAAATTTTTTATTTACAGTTCATTATTCTTATCAGAAATATCTTATACAACATGTTAACGCTGACAATTATTTTTTCACATCACTGATAAATACCTGAATCTGATTGTTTTATCATTGCAATTCACATATATATCAGTTACATCTGTTAACGAAACATTATTTACATGCACCATCAAATGCTAGATACTTGGAAACAATTTCCTTTCTTATCAAAAATTCGTTTCTTTTTTTCGCGAATTGCTTAAAAAACCAACATTTAAATGAACATATCTGGATTTTGCTTTATCGTCAAATGTGCAAATATGAAATTGCTTATATCGATAATGAATGTGCCCGTAAATTAATCAACTAAATTAAATCATTGCATCGAGCCACTGTAGCCAATTGATTGTTGACTTTTTATGACGGTTATAATCGTGCGAGATTTTAAGGGTACAGTCTTCGATCTTCTGTTATGTGCAACGCGAAACTTACAGAAGCCTGTTTCATTTACTTAGTAATTTTCGTAATTTTTTATCTTACTTATTCGATTATAAACCAGTAACAATCTGGAAGTCAGATTTTACATTGCAATGTATTGTTATTGTTAAATAGCTCAGTTAATTAAACAACTGTGCAAGAAAACTATTGCTGAATAACTCAATTAGTTATATTCAGGCGAGCTTGTCCCACGCATTAAATCATTGAAAAGTCAGCAAAACTGTCTCCCAGAACAAATGTAATTTTTTAAAATATGTATGCGTATGCACGTCAAAGCGGTGTCACGTCAATTTTGAACATTTCGAAAGAATTCTTCCGCACATTAATTATGTTATTACTGATGCTATCTGCTCGCTGTGTTACACGTGCCAACTTTGAGATTACCTTGGACATTTACTCATAATATCTTCGTTGCACACTGGTATTGATGTCATTGCACGAATTTTTGCCAACATTTCGCGTGACTGTCGCAGAAAAAGAAATTACATTAAAGACTAAATTGTAATAAATGAATACCTTTACATAGATTAAAATGTCCTAAGATTTATAACATTTTATATGAAAGAGATAGATACGAGTACGTGTAAAAACTCCCTGATTCTTTCGCATACAATGTCAAGCTTTGCAAATTTAGTTCACTTTACAATATTAACAATTGTGCATGCGTAAAAGTAAAGCAATTTTATTCGAATGTCTGTTGAGCATCTTTCGTATCTATTAAAATTTCAAACAGTTTACTTCAAACTTCTTTTAGTACAGCCTTTTGTCTCGAACGCAACATTAAGATATTGACATATGTTTATGTGACAGTCACGTTCACATGGAGTAACGAGAGACATGATTTAACATCGTCGTGGACGTGCGACGAGACAATAATAAATAATTTCCGGGCAATAAGAACAATAAATAACTAAAATATTAATGTAGAATAAAAGGGCCAATGTTACTAAAATATTATTTTAAAAAGAATAAAGATTAATAAACCTGCTACTAGTTATTAATCTTATTATTAATAAAAGATGCAACGTGGCATCTTCTAGTATGTTTCATCCGTTTCGGACAATTCGCGCCTTACATTCTCAGCAAAGTGCATAACGCGTTTTATTGAAGACTTTTTCAATTAATCTAACATTTCCAATTTTAATTGGACGCACAAATAATGCTCTTCTTTTTAGTGCTACGGTTCTCCGTCAAGGTACGAAGTTATTTGATTTACTGTTAACGCGCTGTAACTTCGTAGCAATCGATGAAATGCATCTGGGACAAATTTTAGTTGCGTTCTCGCGCGCAGCGAAACGATATTCTTGTTTTTCTTGTAAATATTCCTCGTTAGAAGTTACGCCCGCGAAAATCAATGCGGACCGTCGCCGCTAATGCCGTGCGAACGGCACCGATACGAGCGTTATCGACACGACGGTGATTACGCGAATGCTGGAGCTGATACGTAGTCAGCGAGGTGCACGAGCGCAGGACCTTGAAACCGCGTCTCTCGCCGCGTTCACGGGCCTATCGCGGATTCCTGCATCACGGGGAACCAATTTCGATGACATCATCCGCATATATTCCGCGATTCTAACGTTGCACTACTAACGCGAAATTCGTCGCGACGCGATGGGATACGACGTGCTTACGGAAAATTGCAATTTTTTTGCAAACCTGGCATGGACAATCGATATGCGCCTCGCCTCGACCCGTTAATTGTCAGCGATATTTACACGAGCCCTCTGTAATCTTCGTGATTATTTTAATTACTCCAAGCTCTTATGATTTAATCGGCCGATCATAAACTCGCGTGAATTACTGGTCTTGATTATGGCAGCTCGTCAGATTTCTAAGAAAAGATGTGTCTATTAATTGAAACATGTACGTCGCTGTCAGCTAATTGTCGCTTAAATTGTTTATATATTTATATTATTGATTGAGCTTATGTCTGTCAATTTCTTTTATAATTACACTGGTTTTTCAATGAATGTTCATAAAACTAGCAATTTCTGCAACATTCAAATCAATTAACTACATGAATTGTTAAAACTTTATGAGACAGTTTTCAAAGACAGATTAATATGAAAACTGTCTAATTTGTTATTATATAATATACGACACTAGACATAAATGTAGACGTACCTGCTTAAATTATTTCTCTCGGGCTCTTTACCAGATTTACCCAATCAAAAAGCAAAGCTTCCTCTGTGAGGAGGCGAAAGTCATATTATGTATTTAGAGAAAGGTAATAAATATTTAATAAAATCAATTAGAAATTAAAGAGGCCGTTTAGGACCGGGCATAGGTGTAAGTAGCCAGTTAAATTAAATTATTTAAGTGAACTCATATACCGTATTCTTTCCAACTTATCCTGTGCGCCAGTTACATGCTAGTCTTAAAACACAGGTTAATCCCCGTAAGTGGTATATTAAAATTGTAGTATTTATACACGCTGGCCTAGAGAGCGTTTACAAAGTTTATATATGTTATTGCGAACAATATTACCTACAGCCCCAGTGGTCGAGCTGGTTAAGACGCCCGCACGGATTGAGGGAGGTCCCAGGTTCGAATCCTGGCTGGGGTAATATTTTTCGCAATAAGAATTTTAATAAGGGGGGAAGGGGGTTATCATATTAGATGCTACTGTGTAGCATTATTAAAATAAATTATAAGCGTGAATTCACTGACGATAACACTTCCACTTACGGGGATTAACCTGTGTTTTAAGACTAGCATGTAACTGGCGCACAGGATAAGTTGGAAAGAATACGCGGTATATGAGTTCACTTAAATAATTTAATTTAACTGGCTACTTACACCTATGGCCGGTCCTAAACGGCCTCTTTAATTTCTAATTGATTTTATATCTTAAAGGACCTATATTAAAATTGTAGTAAATAATTAATATCTTGTAACATTCGCAACGTGTCAAATGGCCCGTTACCTCATCGGTACGATTGACGGTCAATTTAAAAGTGTTACAGCCTATTAAAAGGAAACAATAGGCGTGAATATTGAGTGCGACAATAAATGGGCACATCTTTTTACGTGCCCCTCTAACACTTTCAGCCGACTGCATGATGACGACGTACGAGGGCAATACCGCACTGCCACCGCCCTGCGAGGAAATTGTTCATCAACGAAAGGGTGGCTGGTTTTTAACGTACAAAAAGATTCTCTCCTTCATTGCCCTGTTCGTGATCGTTGTGATTGTCGCCGGTCTGATCGGATGGAACATCGGCACGATGCCCAAAACGAGAGTGAGTGATTTATTGTAACGTAGATTACGACTATTTGTTATTGTCAGTAATTTACTGTCACGTTCACGATCGATAGTGTGTCATAGCGATTTTAAAAGCAAACCTTTTGAGGAAAAAGGCTACAACCACAAAATAAAAAGTTCACTCCTTTGTAAATGAATTTTTGTATTTATGGATTAAAAACATTATTTCATTCGACTATTCATGGAAGAAAATATTGCTGTTATTTTCAAGTTATTATTGTCTTATTATCATCAAATTTTAATTAATGAATCAGTGCCGTTTCACACTTGCGGCTCTACGATGCAAAACAATCACATTCTTTTAATAACATTATTAATAATAATAACTTTTTCAAGCTCTGCGTCTTCTGTTAATTAGATATACGATCCATTAGCTCTTATTGAGGACGAGGTGGAGGAAGAGGCCGATGTCACTATGATCTCGATATCGCCTTTCGTTCATCCTTCGAGATACAGTCTCGAGTTGACGCTGTCGAATGACGTCAACGCGACATCGAAGCTGAAAGGACGAGTTGTCATCGAATTTCGTGTGGACAACACAACGCCATTAGACAAATTGTCTTTGAATGCGAGAAACATCACGGCCACGCGTTATAAGTTGTCGCTCATAGAGGAGAATGGCGTGAGAGCGAAAAGGAGGCGTAGAAGACGCGCCGAAGATAACAAGGGCGACCAAGAGAACGCTGGTATTTCCTTCAAAAATGTCGTATAGATTCTCCACTTGTCGGTATTCCTCATCGAAATTACTTTCTGCTTCTTTGAGTTGTAATAAGAAAGAATATCTCGGTCGATATAGTTGGAGAAACCGACTATGTTAAAATCATTTAATTTAATCTGCTTCACAATGACTGGTTGCTTCAAGTTATTTTTTAAATATTAAATGTATGCAAAAGTGCTTGCTAGATTGAAATTTTTAATCGCAATCACGAGCGCGATCCATACTTGTTTTATTTGGATTATAATGCACCGTCGAAAAGTTTCCGTTCAGAATCGGCAAGTTCAGATAGATTCAAGATATTTCCGTAGGTGTTAATCATCCCATTGACGAGCGCGATTGACGATGCCATTGTGGTAGAAGTCTGTTGCGCACAAAAATCCAGTACAGCCCACCTTGAGTCAACCGGAACCTGCATTCTTTCAGTGTCTTTTTCAGTGGACCGAAGAAGCGAGCGAAGTGTCGCTATCAACGCAGGACAGATTATTGCGAGACACTTGAGCGTTTACGTGGCACCAATTAAAAATAAACGTCCCGGAAAATTGCAGTAAAGGGTTAATCTTATTGCGCGACAACACGTGTTTTCAAGTCGTCACGTCGTAAGGGACAAATTGCAAGCCCTTAAATGGGGGAGACCCTGGAGCACCCTCCGTGCAATCCAGATCTCTTCTCTTGCGATTTTCGCGTTTTCAGTCCGCTGAAGAGACACTGAAAGAACGTGAATTTCAGTCGCACGATAATTGTATTGAATTTTTATACGCAACAGACAACATACTGGCTACCACAGCTGCAGCTTCAACCTTGTTCGTCAATGGGTCGATTGCTTTAAGGCTTTTACGGAAATTAAATTATCTTTTAAGTATTTTTAGCTTATCTCAGCTTACCGACTCCGATCGGAAACCTTTTGATCATCCCTTGTATAATCTGCACCGCTAATGTAATTCGTCATTATCGGGCAATGGGTTAATGTACGGTTTAACAAAGCAACAGATTTCTGGTGGCAAAATATGCGCGATAAGACTAGCTTGCAGCTGTGTTAATATCTATATAATAGCCTGCAGGTGGTCAATTGTGTAATCTTCGCGATAAATTTAAAATAAAATGAAAAATAACTTTATTCTCACTGTATAAAAGGTTACGTAATTCAGATGGGTAAATCTAGTTTCGTTCTTTAGTTCGTATAGAAAAAAGGAACTTAACGTGATTTAAAAGACTTTGTGCGAAACTTTCGTTTACTCCTAGAGAAAATTACGCGATCGATTATGTCTAATATTGGACAACGATCTGTTCAACGCAGACAATGCTACCACACCGGCCTCAACAGCGATGTCATCTCCGCAATTGGAAAATCAGGAAACCCCGCGCGTTGTCACGGGTTTGCCTCCGGGAAACGGGACCGTTTCGGGTAACGAAACCGCTCCTTTGGCAAACGTAAGCTCGTCCGTGCCCGACGAGAAAATCGCGGAGTCTGCGAACGCGACCACGTCTGGACCGGTGACGTCTACTACGGTAGTATCTGGTAACGGAAGCGTAACTGACGTGGAGATCGAACGATATGAGGTAGATGCTAATAACGGATTACATGTGATATATCCGGCCGTCGCCATGAATCCGGGAACGTACAACTTGGAGATCGATTACGAGATTATGTTTGATGGAAAGACGATTTATTCGGTGAACTTCAACGAGTCTAGCGAAAGAACGTGAGTTTCCTCTGTGTGTGATTACAGTGACGAAGAAAATCAACTAATTAATTGTCAATTATATTAAAATTAAAGCTAAGTTATTGCTACTCATAAACTAATCAAATTTTCTGAAAATTACAAGAGAAGTTTTCTAAAAATTTGGTCTTTATAAAAATAGGATTAATACTCTTTCGTTAACGTAAAAGTTATAAAAATGGGTTTTTTTGTATATTTAATTTTGCGGCTCGTTTTACACAAGTCAAAACTTTAGTCGTGTACCTTTAATTTAGATATTTTTTTAAAACGTGTATAGCTCAATAGGATTACGCTTTAACAAATTTCGAAATGGTTTTGTTTATAATTTTTAGCAAATCATTAATCGGGACGCGATTGAAAGCTGTGGGAGCCTCGCATCTTTTGCCCCTCTTCGACGACGTGAATCTCAAGGCTGTCTTCTCAGTGTCCATGGCACGTCCGCGCGAAGCGAGAGTCCTGTCGAACATGCCTCTCAATACCTCCAAAGACACGTGCGTATTTCATACTGTTAATTGCAGCTGTGTCAACGTTTGCGTGCTTAGGAAGACTATGTCGGTTTGAAATAGCAAAACTGTCCAGTTTCTCTATTGTTCCCCCAACTGTGTTTTTTCAAGTGCAAATAGAATAAAAATCATACACGAAACAAAAGATAGAAAAGCCTACCATTCTTACTATTTTTATGACAATTTTAAAACGTGTTATCAGATTTTACTGTCTTTGATCGATTTGCAGCTTTTCTTATTTTAAACTAAAGAGTGCACCTAAAAGATATGCTAATTGTGGATCGTTAAAGCGAAATATTTTCATTAAAATATTGTTTCTATCGGTGCATTATAGTGAAATGTCGTGTCATTATTCTTTCATATTTTTCTTCCCACACATGCAATTTTTATGAGTCAAAGAGATGACCACCATGTGACTTGTATCTTTCAAGATCGAATGATCGGATGATCGACATCTTCAACGATACTCCTTTGCTCTCACCTTACAATCTGGCATTAATAATGGGCGAGATCGAGTCGGTGGGCGAGACGAGAACGGGGCTTGATAACGCGACAGCGGTAACTTTCTGGGGCGATCCGAAAAGGCGATCACGGGGAATTTACCTCCTCGACAAAGTCGACCAGATTGTTGCGATTTTCTACGACATTTTCTCGATGCCTTATCCACTACCGAAATTGGATATCGTCGCATTACCGTCGCGAATCGTCAATAACGTCGGAAGCCCGGGACTGATATCATTAAAGTAAGAGGGATCACAATGTTATTTCATTTATATAAGAATAGTTAGATTACTGCGGAATTGTTTCGCTAGGGGAAATTATAATTTTCTCATAAATTTCGGAGAGATAATAAAATTTCATTTTTAAATGCATTCATTTTAAGTGGATTTTATATGACTTAAATTTTGATTTTAATTTCTAATTTAAAATGCAGTGCTAATAAAATATTAAAGAGAAAACAATTCGAATTATAACAAAGTCTGGCAACGGAGTAAAATTTTGCCTTCCATTCAAACAAGATGGCAAAAATTGCGACTGGATGCAAATGTATTGCTGGACTAATTCATTATGCTCTACATTGCACTAAGTTCGATGTTGTGTTATATCAAGCTAAATTGTTTTCAAGGCAATCGCTCTTCTACGCCGCGGATCGATCTCCCATGGCCACGAAGACGGACGCGTTAAGCGCTCTGATAAGCCTGATAGGAGAACAATGGCTGGGCGGTGTCGTGAACATGAAGAACTGGACGGACGTTTGGCTACTTGAAGGCTCCATTCTCCATTTGCGACACGCGATGATCGAGAAGGCACATAATTGGAATTATATATATTTAAAATATCTATTAACTCCAAAAGTGCATACCGACGTCCGACAAACAGCATTTTGTGCTGAAACATATGTTAAAATATATTAAAATTATGTATTGCGACAATTAATATTATTAAAGCATATATTAATTATTTTAAAAAGGTAATGTGAGTAATTAAATAAAAACAATTTGGTTTTACACGGCGCAAAATTGCAAAGTTCTCTAATAAAGTTGCAAACGTAATAAGAATTTTTATATAAGAAGAAAAGAAATAAAATTCATAGGAAAATTAATTTATTTTAATTTTACAATTTTCTTTTCATATTTTTTGTATTGTAATTTTATATCATGTTAATTTTCTTTGATTTGACTTTCAATTCATGTGTTACCTTTTTAAAATATTTGATTTACACACATTTGACGGTGACTAGATGGCAACCGTATTGTCCCCCGAGGGAAGCAAAGTTTTTATGAGATTCTATTTTCAGATAGATTCGTCACTGGACTCTAATCATGCCTTTCTCGCTAATGTGCAATGGGATGCCATGGAAGATGATAGCTACAGCGTCTCAAAGCCGCTGCAATCGAACGTAAATCCTGCCCATCTGGATTTTTCGGACGACAATGTTCGACACAAGAAAGGTAAAGATCAAGATTTCCTCGAGCAATGCTTATAATACTTCAGTATCAATACCTTGCTCTTGATTACTATTGGCATTGGTATTTTACTTTCAATATTAGACGCATTAGCGGCACTTGAAAGTGGAGCTGTGATTATTCGAACACTTCAATCTTTAGATGTTCGCGAATAAATAGTTGAATATTAGTACAAATATGTTACACGTATTCTAACAGCAAATAACTTTGCAGTCAGTTACAAAGTTTACGTATCGCTTTTCGGTACACATTTCTCTCACGTGGCTCTTTCACTATTCAACTACTGTTAGAACCTGTATATCTCTTTGAACCTGCGAACACGTGAAATTGTATCGTATAATCGCAGCTTTGCTCGAAAGGCAGTATCGAATATATACGCTCTCGTAACGCTGCATAATGTGATTCTGCATTCTGACTGCTTCTTGTAGGTGCATGCTTGATTCGCATGTTGCATGGCGTGATAAACGATACCGCCTTTAGGAACGGCTACCGGAAATTCATAGCGAGGTGGTGGGTATATCACATTATCGTTCTATCCTTCGGCCGGGCCGTACTTGGTTCATTAATCGTATAATCCCGGCATCGACGTTTATACCGCTCGCACGACCGCGCGCTCGTGCGACTGCGAGTGATTCAGTCGTCGAAACGATAATCGACGCGTTTTACAGCGAGTTATCCCGCTGGCTTTATGGTAATGCCAGTCGTTGAATGTCACGAGCTGCCGACCATTATTCCTCATGCTTCTTTATCGGACTCGTTACATAAGTGCACCTATCACCGATATACATATTTCGTTGGCATTGACTGTCGCAATGTCATACGAACGTATAAAGTTATACAATCTTGTCACGTAATGTACGCAAGGGATGCGTTAACAGCAGTGCTCCACGTTTTGCTACAGAAAAATGCGCAGACCATTTAAGTGGATTTAAAAATGAGAGTAAAACGCGGTTGCACGTGCGTTTTTAAATAGTCAAAATTTTACTTTTAATTAAACTGACACGTTTCGGTTCCGCTTTGTGTAACATTGCTGATCTCCAGCAATGTTGTGCAAAGTAATTTACTCTAGCTGAAATTATAATTTACTCTCACGTTTTTCTTCGAAACAACGATAAGCGCTTCAGCGAATTCAATGGTTAAAAAGCCACGCGGTTTAATTGTAATTTTTGTAAATTAATATTCATTGTAGGAACTATTCGACGGCAAACGTTGACGATTTCTGGGAAGCGATGGCGGAAGAAACTATCGGTTTACCCATGGAAATCACGTTGTCCGAGGCGATGAACTCTTGGATTTCGCATCGCGGATATCCGATTGTCAGCGTCGTGAGGAAATACAAGGAGGGCACCGCCACTATTCGACAGGTGCGATTTAAATGCTACAAATTAACATGCTTATTTTGTTTCTTATGGTAGCATCATAATTTGCATCGGTATGCGTCAATGTGTTTTTCGACATAAAGTATTATCATCAATCATATTATATGTTGCACAGCAAAGATTTACGTACGATCAATCGCCATCTGACACTCAACCGACGTGGTACGTACCGCTTGACTACATTAACAAAACGAGCACTGATTGGTCATCTCCGACAAAGACGTGGTTGCATACCGAAGCAGAGATGGTGGTGCAGAACGTTGGCGCTAAAGATTCTTGGGTTGTGTTCAATGTGAATAAAACAGGTAAGCTACGTTGAGATTTCCCTCAAAAGACGCGTCCCTTAAAAACTCAGTTGTCAAAAATCAGTAAAAGTTTTTATCAGAATTGGCAGGATATTCTCTTTACCTACACCATTAGACGCGTCTAATAGGAAAATGTAGCATTATTAGAGTAGGATAATTAGAAATCATTTTTATCATTTTAAACAAAATTGCTAATTGACGGGAATTGAATTTATGAAAAATATTTGTCTTACTTGTAATCAATTTCTGGCGCTTTTTTAAATCCTTTTTAATCTTGTGTCTAATGTTATAACGTAATTTGGATTTTGTAACAAATGTGATTTTATCAAATTTTATTCGAGCGAAAGATAACTTCTTGGCGAGAGAATGACACATTAATTTTAATATCCTCCAATTTAATGAAATTGCAAAAGGGGGTGCAAGTGTCTGCTCTATCGTTATTAATTGCTTTCAAGGTTATTACCGTGTGCACTATGACGAGGAAAATTGGAAGCTTCTGACGCAGGCCCTCGAGGAAAATCACGAGGCCCTTCCGGCAGAAACCAGAGCGTCGCTCATCGACGATGTGCTTGGACTCGCCGCGGTCGGCTTGACGAAATACGCGACCGCTTTCGACTTTATTAAATATATGCAAATGAAGGAACGGCATTACGCTCCCTGGGGTGCTCTGATGCGTCATCTGTTGAAGTTGAACGGTCTCCTATACGAGACATCTGGTTTTAGCGACTTTCAGGTGAAGTAGTATGCTTATAAAGGTAAACAAACATTAAAAGAACATATCAGTTTAAAGAAATTTGGAGAAGTTGCTTGACTAGTTAGAATCTGGGAATTTCTGGAAATTACACTGACAAAAAAAATTTTTTTATCTAAGTAAATTGATTTACTTAAAATTACTTTTTTGCTGAAATAAATATTTATTATATTCAAATAATTTCTTTATCAGCGTAGAATATATTCAATGCAAAATATATTCAATGAGTATTTTGCACAAAAAATTCTACCTGCAAAAACACAAAGACACAATAATAGTGAAGAATGAGTTAACCAAATGTATGCTTCTCGAACAATATTTAAGACGATAAGACAAAATTCGCGTTGCAAAACCATTGCAAAGAAATTGATATTTGTTACCTTATTAGTGTCTTTATTATTAAACTAATAAAGAATGTCGGAAATTTAAGAAACCTGGAAGTTAAAATTTAGATTAAACAATTATTTAACGTGACGATTTAACGGAAGGGCTGTTTGCAGGAATTTACATTAAAGTTTACTTCAAAATTGTACTCGGACATGGGGTGGAAAGTCGACGAGGGATCGCGACTAACTTTGACCGCCCTTACGATAGCGTGCGCGTTCGAGAATGCGGAATGCCTTGAGTGGGCCAGGAGTCATTTTGCGAAATTGAAGGACCATTCCGATGCGGACGAGGTGTAAGTTCCATAAAAATATCTAATTTGTCATTCGAAATTCGTTCCTATCTACATTCATATAGCTTTCGGACAACTGTGATATGTGGCTCTATTTATTACAGTCTTTATACAAATCGTTTCTTTTTCCATTAAAAAATTTTGTTATCCGAATTAAATAGAATTTTAATATATTGGATATTATTGCCTGCTTTTTTTCAAGTTGGAAACTGCATTTGCATTAACACTATTGTCGACAGACCGTTTGCATTATCCAAGTTGTTTCAAATTTCAATATGGATAATCTGAATGAAAATACAGTCAATTCTTTGGAAAATACAATATTCAAATATCACAATCAATTTTGGAGATAAAAACTTCGACCGTTTTGATCGTTTAGTGTGCCGGCGTATGCACGCGAAGTGGTGTACTGTACGATTGCACGATATGGCACGCGAAACGAGTGGAATTACTTTGTTGAGAAAGCAAACTCTACCGCAGATCGGGATGAAAAGAATCGCCTTCTATCAGCATTTGCGTGCTTCCAGACGCCGTGGATTCTGCAATCGTAAGTAAAAATTATTAGTAAAAAAGAGTAATAAGTAATCATTAAACTTTTGTTATTTATCTTGAGATAGAAATTATATATCGAATTTTTAAAAATTAGACAGATAATGAATAACTTCTATCTATTTCTAACAGTAAGTAAATGTTGTTTCAGACTTAATTCAATTTCAAGTTAGTGCGGAAAATGTGTTGAATAAAATTTTGAATGATAAGAAACAGGTTCGTTTTTTTACGCGTCGAGTCAAGAACAACCTGAAGTATTGATACAATTTTCACAGACGCTCTGTAAAAATATCAAATACGTTTTTAACAGCGTGTGTTTTACGAGTATATACATAATTTATGTTAATGTACATTAGGATACTTAGCGAGATTCTCGAAGGGAAGATGTACGACGAGGACGAGACGCAAAGGATCTTAAGAAGTTTCCCGCAAAATCCGGTGGCTGCGCAAATCGCCTCCAAGTTCGTGCAAAATAATTGGCAGGTTATCGTCACGAGGTACTTTGCAACCTTCTGATCTCTTCGTCAAACTTGTAAGCAGATTACGATGTTCCCTCATGTCTGTTTAGATTCTCCACATCTCGTCCGATCTTAAAAGCTTTCGCGCTGGCGATGACGAACGGCTTGATCAGCGAGGAGGACTTTGAAGACGTAAGTTAATAGAAATAATAATTTTTATTAAAATAAGTAGCCTCACTATAATCTCTTCATTTTTACGCCGGGCAAACCCTGTGTGTTTTCCTTCTTCTTCATGCGTTACTTGACGGTAGCTAGAAAGATACAAATCTTTTCGAATATCATACGGCGAGGATTTTCTTTTAAAATTTATTCTGAAAATCGTGTAATCGTCGGACAACGTGGCATTTTGAAAAACCTTGTGAGAGTTTTCTCAAACGTTACTAATAAAATATGGTAAAATTTCAAAAAACTCTTATAACATTCTCCGAAATGCCGTGTTGTCCCACATGACTTTCGTGATAAATTTTAAGAAGAAAGTCTCTCCGTGTATAAATTGCAACTTTAATGTTTACTCGATCCTCTAGTTTCAGACTTTCAGCGAGGATAATCTCGACAGCATAAAGATCGTGGGGTACACCATGGCGATGGTCGAGGCGCGTGCTAAATTCGCGATAAAGTGGTTAAAGGAATCGCTGCCGGAAGTGCAGGAGTGGTTAACGGCGAACAATTCCACGGAGACGTCGGTATGAATAGTCGTGAGATCCGGGTGCGAGAGGACGAAGGAAACGTCCCGCGCGCCCTGTAATTATCGATTCGCCCTCGCAGTTGACGCTCGCACGCACGCGAAAAGAACTGCGGCAACTTTTCTACGACAACAAGTTTTATTTCTCCGTATGCTTTTGTCAAGCATGATTACAAAACCAAGCAACAAGAATCTCGTCCTTATATCGTGTAGCCTTAGAACGACGGTCGTTAGTGTATAATTAGTTAGTAGGTACATATTTAACAAACGATATACATAATAATCGTATCTAACGGTGGTAATTATTATTCCAATGTTTACCGTAAACTCTCCGTTTCGCGCCCACGTTGACGGCGCTCTATTGCTATACGGTACGCTCGTTTTATAACGCACTATGCTGTCGTTACAATAATCTAGCCGTACCGCCCTTACTCTCTTCTCACCTTTAGCCTAACTCGTTAAATGCGTTTAGTACGGTATTCGCAAGCTATCAAATACGCAGTTCAAGGGTTGGAAGCGACGATCCATCGTCGGGTCGTGGGCCGTGGGGGATTAAAACTGTCCGGTGTTAAAGATCCAAGTCTTACAGCGAATTCGATTGGTTGCATTACCGCGCACTGGGCGCACACTGAGCCTTGTTTACAGTCAATTCTTATATTTAAACATCATTTTTAAATACCTCTTGCAATATTTCTTATCCAGAAAAATGGTCTGTACAACGCTTGCGCCGATCATTTTTTGACTAAATACTCTTTGAACATATATTTAAGACAAAGTTAAATATAAGAAACTGACTATAAGCAAGCTTTAGTGTGCACTCAGCGCGCACTGGTGCAAGCAACCGAATTCGCTGTTTGATACACCGCGAGGCCCGAGTGTCCTCGCGTACGTCCAATTCCCTCGGGACGAGTTAAAAAATCGCAGAACTACTCAGCGCCGAATTTATATTATACTTCGGCGACGTCTAACCCACTTTTTACAATGCATTCAGCGCTTAAGTGCGATTCTTCCTGCACCGTGCGCGCACGGTGTTCGTAACTTTACAAACGCGCACGTTTAACGCTAAATGCAACCACCCGTTTTCCTTTTCACTTCACGTTTATATCGAGCAACGTATTCTCACACTTGGACAAGTCCCGGAAGTGACATTGGCAAGTCAGGGCCTAGCCAGACAAATTGGCGCAGCTGCGCGATCCTCCGCGCGAAGAAGATTTTCCAATCGCATTTCTATCGGAAGAACGCGCGTAAAATGCGACTGGACCATTTCCTTTAGGGTTACGCAGCTAAGCAAGTTTGTCCGGATAAGTAACTTGACGAATAGTCGCGTTTCTAACTGTGGCCGCGCAGTTTTCACTCTACATCTGCATTACGCGAGAATCTCGTACCGAGCCCGGCGCATTCGGCGCCAAATGCGCATACTGTTTGCAAGTAAAATTTCTCGATACACGAGAACAGTTTTAAAAATGTCTTTATTTTCCGATCTCTCGCTCTGGGAAAAAAAAAGACAGTTAGCAACCCATTTTGGGGCTCACAATTAGTAATCGAATTATTTGGATTGTTCGTAACTCTAATCTTTTACGAATTTTACCCCGCGTAGCTAAAAATCGCAATTAGCTGTTCTATCTACAACCAAGATTTTCAAGTAGTACTAATCAATTCTCTCAATTAGTTCTGTCGATATTCAGTATGCAAAGATAATTTTCACTTAAGAGGCACTGACTGAAATGTTAAGTTGCTTAACTACAAAAAAAGGTCAAAATTTGTCCTAGAGTAAAGCAATCCAAATAATTCGATTATAATTGTGGACCCCAAAATGGGCTGCTGTCTTTTTTTTCCCAGAGCGTATGTTGCAGAGATTATTTTTGAAACAAGACATATCTACTTCTAACGGAGCACAACTGCATTGCATATAAATGTTTTTTCTTTCGTATTCTTTGCTCGTTGGCTTAATTTAAAGACGTACACGTTCTTAATCGATTTATAGTCTTACCAAGAAGATCCACAAATCCGAACAACGTACCCCGATAGGAAAATATTTAGAGAATTATGTAACGAAATTTGAATGAAACTTGGAATGCTGGAATTATGCGTGCGTATTTCGAACAACATATGCAGAAGTGGAGACCTTTCATCAAATATTAGATAAATATTTGCACAATGTGTTTCTAAATAGTATGTCAGCAAAACCGCTGCGTCTTTTGGCGAATCACTTTAATGCAATCATTGTGAAATTTCCTCCTTTCGGATGATGCAGTTATTATTATACAATATTAAGAGACATTTTCCTATCGGGGTAGTTTTCTTAGTGTATTAATTATCAAAGATAATTCACTTGACGTTAATGCAGATAAATGTTTTCCTTTACTTCTGGAAGCTCCGTTTCAAGAGACGTGTTTTATTTCGCAAATAACCCTCTCGGTTAATCGTTTGAAAAAGGTATCGATCGTTTATTGTCTTCATACAATTCACTCGGTTTTATTTAGACGCTATTATCGGTGTTGCGTGTGTGAGCGCAATTGTCGACATTCTAAAACGATCGCATATGTACATATACACGTATCGGTACGATAAAATACAAATGATTAATATTTTGTGCGAGATTTCAAACAAACGCGATTTCATTGAATCCATTGGCTTTTGATTTCGAATTCGTTTCGTACGTTAAAAAAAAGATACGTTCTCGTTTGTTATATTTGGTCATGCCTTTCTGCATTGAGCGTCCTCCTTTTTTTCTTTCCCCCGAATATGGCGAGTCTCGTACGGTGCATTTAATGCGATACTGTTCGGTGCTTTGTACGCCAACGTTGAGATAATTCCACGCTCTTTTCATCGTGACCAAACGCTAATTAATAGTGCTCGAATAATCCTGTATCGAGAGCATCAAACGCGAACTGCCGTTGGAAATCGGGATAACTGAAAGGAATTGCGCGGACATGATTTTTTTTAAAGCGACATATCTCTTGTAAATTTTATGCAGATGTAGCAAATCAAATGCAGGAAGGCAAAACGGCATCACAAAATAGTTATTGTGTCATGACAAAAGATTAATATTGCACCGATTAATATTACATAGAATTTCATGTGTGAAAGATTGTGACAAATAAAAAGATACGTTTGTCTCCTGTGCCTCTCTTTCATGATTTCATCGACGTTATTGGCATTTTAGTTGCTGCTTTGATCCAAGTGGGTTTTATGCAAATAAACAACTTTCTGTCGTTCGAAAGCATTTTTACAGATTTGCCAAGATTTTTATATTTTTCGGTACAGCGACGTGAAATAATGATTTATTAAAGTTTAAAGAGAAGTTGGGAGAATAATTATTCAACTGATTTCATAAAAATTACGTAGTTTAGCATTGAGGACTAGCGGATGGATAACTTAGTTGTGACTTATTTTTCAAATCCTATCGATCATTATTTTCTGCTGAAAACGTCTGACTTTTCTTTAGTCAGATGGAGATTGAATACACCATTTTCTGGATAACAAAGGAATAAATTATGTAAAAACTTGTGAAATGACATACGTAGTAATGCGTTAGAATGAGTACAATGTATTAAAAAGCCCCATACAATTTTTCGGAAAGGTACCGATTTTATCTGGAAATCGTAAAAAAGGGCCCAATTTTATTTATACCTTATACTTACCGCTACGTCACGTTATATACACGGTATTTACATCTTAGTCTTGTTAAATAACTTATTATCCTGTTAAATAGTTTATTATCTAGATGCGCATACTTCATTCGCTCTATTTTTCTGTTATTCGCTCTTGACTCGTGACCTAAGATCATCCTACCGATCGAATATTTCGATCACATCGACGTGATTTTCGCGTGTGTATGTTTGCAGGACGTTGTCTACACCTCTGCTTTTCGTTAATCATTTCGTTATTGACGGTTCATTATTGATGATAAAAGAATTACTACTCAAAGTTGTAATAAGTAAATTAGAAAATAAACACATAAAGCTCTTCTGATGATGTGTTAAACACAAATTCGAAGTAATAAAAGAGCTAAGTGCCTTGACAGAGTGTTAGTGTTTAAATAATTTTATTATAAATTTACTGCGTATATGTACATGCCTCATTGGTCGAATTTGGTCAGACGCCCTAGTAAGGCCCGGTTTCACCAACGTCGCTTAACGTTAAGCTTAGCTTAATTCGTTCCTTGTCCCTTTCCAACTGTTACTCTAGAAAGAGACAAACGTGAATTAAACGAAGATTAAGCAACGTTTGGTGAAACCGGGCCTAAGAGAGTGATCCGAGTTTAAACTCTGGCTGAGGTAATATTTTACGCAGTAAAGTTATAATCAAATTATTTAGATACCTAACACCCTGTCAAGGCTCCCATCTCTCTCGTCTCCTTTAAATTAGAAAAACTAATACGAATTTAATGTATAAAAATAAATGTTTCTTTATCCTATTAAATTGTCTCAATAGCATATTTATTTCTCTCAAGGAGATTGTTAGGAGAGTCCGAAATGTGAAGAGTTACATAGAATCTAAAACATTGAACTCTTTTATAAATTATGTCAGCGTATGAATTTGTTCAGATTTCTTCGCCGATTGGTTTTTCAAAATATCTATAACAAAGTTCAAGGTTTTTAATGGGTTCTAATAAGAGACTTGATGTAGTATATCAAGAAAATTACTAAGAAAAATTACTATTAAAAATGTTAAGAGCTGAATAAATTTACGTTTAGTATATCAAGAATGTTATACTAAAAGTATTCAATTCTTCAAATATTTGAAAAATATGACCGCATGATTTTCTTGTAGTGTTAAAACTTACGCCGCAATATAATGTATGAACAAACCGTGTATTTAATCAAACTTTACCTACATAAAATTCTTCAAAATTTTTAGTGCTCCGTATTCTGACAGAAAAAAAATAAAACTGTTTTTACTATTATTTAAATCTTTAACTGCTGCAGTTATATTCAGAGAGCGTTACTGTTTAATCACAAATTGATTTCAAACGACGTATCATCGCTCTGTCGCGATGAACACGTGGTAATTAAATATGACAATTAAATCTTGAAGGTAAAACAAGGCGCTAGCTAAAACTGGCTTCCTTATTGTTTTCAGTTCATCGGAAGCGAAAGCTGAAATTAGAACTCTTTCTCACGTTGCATTAATTAAGATTTAAATACCGTCTTCGCTATAAAATCGTCGTCGACGCGAGTATTACCAGTCGCGGTGTCATTTTATAACAAGTAAATATATAGCTCTATCATAGAAAATGTGTGCGTTGTTTTCCTAACGACCTAGTGCGGAGTAGATTTGTTTCGCTTTCCCTCGCTAGGAGAATAATTCCTCGAGTCTACAATACTAAATGCACGCCTCTTTATTTCCCACGAGTCTAACGCTTCGGCGTTCACTGGACGAGTATTTTCAATCGAGTAGCGATCACAATATCCGGCATAGATCGCCGTGGTCAGTCGGGAAGAAAACGCTCGTTCGAGTCCCGAGAAGAAATTATTCGCGTAAACCTCCTCGATTGATTGACGATCGGAAGAAGCGATCGTATACCGGAAATTGTTTTCTTACGAAAAATAATCGGTGGCCATTCGACTGATGGCACAAAAACGCTCTTAAAGTATCGGCGTAGCGTTTTAATGGCAGTAGTAATGGGGAATTTTTCTTTTCTCCCCTCGCCCCGCAATAATTATAATATATATATATTTACAGTTTAACGTACTACAATATTATGTCTAGAATGCGCGAAAATTATTATTCGCTAGTTATATCTAAGAGTCCTAAAAACGTCGAAGAATCGGGCGAGTATCGATCGTCGACTTAAGGCTGTCGGCAGAGTCGATCATGAATCCTCTTGCTTCAAAGAGAAAATCAATTCTGCGCTTTTCCCACGTACGTAAATGTCGGTATGGAATAAAACCGGATGTTTGTTTCGAGGGAATAATTGTTTAATTGAGTTTTCCCGAGTTTAAAGGAATAGAAGCACCGCCGTAAGTAAACACAGTGCTCAGTACTTCCGTCAATTCTGTAGCGTGAGTTACATATAAATTCGAGAATTGAATGATCACAGAAAAACAAGCTCCACCTCTGAGTTTCCCGTGAAAATCGAGAAATTTAGACAGAACGAGGATCCAAGATTCTCCGACGTTGATTTACGCGAGTAACAGTCATCCGCACAGGCGATTCGCGACAGACAATCGTTTGACCGCAACGACAAGTATCGTACATGACGCGTTAACTGTGTCTATAAAAGGAAACGGACAAGGGCAAAATGAATGGAAATGACGACTCACAGTGACAACGACCACGAACTACGGTATTGAACAACGGCGTCAATGGTTGTTCAATTCCCTACAACTATCAGCTTTAGAATTCGTATGCTTTACTTGTTCTTACCGTACTATCGGTTATTCTTTATCGTACTCTCACGTGTTTCACCTCTCGTTACAAAATACAATATATTCTTGTTGGGACGAGGTAACGCGAGGTGCGTCGGCGGTGCGAGATATGCGTTCCCTTCCTCGCGAAGAGAACAGCAAAGGGGGAGGAAAACGATAATAATTTCACACGCACGAATAAAGGTGCTTATATCAGAGGAGGGAAAGAGAGCGAGGGAACTAAGTGACAGACACCAAGTGCTCGCAGAAAGATTGGGAAGTGTAGCAGTTGATAGAACGATTATCAAAAAGGAAGATTAGTCGATGAAATATTTTTCTAGGACAGTAATGAAACGGTACTTTGCGTTACCGACGCACTATCGGCTCGTCCGTCGTTCTTAGATTTATTTATATACTCGTATAAACGGTTACGTTTCTAAAATTATCAACTGGTTATACACTTCGAGTAAGATTACGCCCTAAGGTCTGTGTACGACGAGCTAGCTACGCGCTGATTTACCTAATTAATTCGCATAATGCGAGCGACTCCCGGGGCCCGACTCGCAAAGGGCAAAACGCTCACAAAACGCGACTTCCGTCGTTCGCGTACAAAACTGCTGCCATGGTATTGCGGCGGCACTGCAGCTTCTCATTCGCATTTTATTGCAATGCGGAAGCTCGCAAGCTCCAAGCTTCGGTAAACCGCACACGCTGCAACAAGCTACGGAATTGTTCGCGTACCACGTTTAATGTAAAACAAAAAATCGCTCGGAAAGAAAAACCCTTGCATGCTCGCTATAAGGCGTCGATTTTTCATTGTAAAACGTGCGCGCAAGACGCTGCAGCGATACAACCGCATCGCGATACCTTTGTATATCTGGCTCCGTCTCGTTCTAGATTACAAATCTAGATTGCACATCTAGATTACACAAATCTAGATGACAAATCTAGATTACAAATCTAGAACGCGGACTAAAATGTGACATTAATTAATTTCGCGTTAGCCCTAATTCGCGTGGAGCTTTATCGCTCCTGTTCGAATGACAGCGCCCGTTCGCGCGCGCGCGCTTGGACGAACGACAGGCGGAGACCGGAAGCTCGATCGTCGCGTTCAGTCCCGGTACCGGAGGCGATAAAATTATACTATACAGTGTTACACCGTAATGTCCGTCAGCCTGATGTGTTACCCGATTAAATAGTGGCAGCTTCGTATTACGATTTATTTGAGCAGACTATGTAGGTGTACGTGGATCCCCGTGAACCTCGCGCCTATCGCGCGAGCGTACGCGCCCTTACGTTTGGGAGACACCGAGTGCAATTTGTTCAAGCGATCACGTCGCCCCGGCGTTTCTCTCGTTTCGGGATTTCGTAACGACGTACACATCGTCTCATCCTGCCATCGACACTGTCTCTCCAAAGACGACGTCTATTTCGCTCGTCCGGTTCTCGTTCCCCCTTTCAGAGGAGCTTAGCATCCCGCCGCGTCGTCTTTGAAATCGCCGGCCGTATATACTTTCGGTGCACTCTTTGCAAAATCGGAGCCCTTTTGCCGTAATTTCGTCGTTGAGGATAAGGAGGTGGAACTTGCGGACACTCCTAAGACCAAGGTCCGGGCTTCTGGTCCTTAGTCTTTCTCTACGGTGCAGGGCTCGGGCATGGACTACTGGGGCGGACACTTCACCACCGTCGTGGTTGCGAATTCGCTGAACTTCTTGTCGATGGGCACCCGGTCGTCGTAAAGGGTGGGCGCCTGCAGGATGATGCCCGCGGTACCCACCAGAACTGCCAGAGTGAAGATCCAAAGGAACAGGCGGTCCAGCACCATCGCCACGTACTTCCAATCCTCTTTTACCTGCCCAGAGAAACGATTTCGTTCATTTACCGCGAAATCTTGTAATGATAGTGGCGAATCGAGGCCTTTCCAGACTTCGTGCCTGATCTGTTACTTTAGAAAGAGACGAACGTGAATTAAACTAATAAGATTAAAGTTAAATGGCGTTTCGTGAAACCGAGCCTAAAATGTATGGGAAAAATTCAAAAAAACCTTATAAAATTCATCCAAATGCCCTGTCGTCCCACGATTTTCAGGATCAATTTTAAGAGAAAATTCTCTCCGTATATACGTTACGTACAGGAGAAAACCAATAATCGTAGAAAGAAAATTTTGATCGAATGCCTCTCCACGTATTTCAACGGGTGTACCTTAGTCGAGTCTTCGAGCATCTTGGTGTGTTCCGCAATGAAGCGCACGCAGATGCAGGACCTGTGCACTTCCGGCGGGCAACGGGAGTGCGAGAAGGTGGGTGGGCTTCGCAGCGCGGGACTCTTGACCTCCTCTATGCCCGCGTCCCCGGAGACCGAGAGATCCTCGCACTCGGTGTGTAAGGGTAACGGTGCTAAAGGGGGCCCATGAATCAAGCAGCTGCCTCCAAACCTCGCACCGTCTGTAAGGCTGAAGTAATCGGAGAGCGTAACATTGTTAGATACGATTTTTTCTTCTCCCAGTGAGCAGCACTTTTGTCGCCGTTATTATATACTTATTAAATAATATTACTATTAAGAAGATAATATTTCATGATCGTACCATTTAAACTGAAATTTATAATTATAATGTTATCCGTAAAATAGAAAGAAAAAGGAAGAGCCGACGCAGGATGTTAAATGCGGAATACAAAAGTTTAATGTACAATAACATTCATAATGGTAAAAAAAATTGTCCAATTATTAACAATTTATAATGGTTTTTTGTGATTTCAAGCTACATTCGTTGTTATAATAATTGACTTTTTTTTGTATAACTCGAGCTTCCGCTTTTAATTTATATAAATATTAATAATTAACGTTGTAACGTAAGTAATAATTTTTATACGCCATTGAAAAGGATCGCATTAGTTGATCGAAACGTTTGACTTACTACCTTCCTTTTTCTTTCTATTTTATTTGTTCTATTATCAGAGCCCTTAGACTATATTCGTTCTGTATTATCCGTACAAGTTTCTCGGGGAGAGGATATTTGAGAGCTGTGCTCGTAATTATAAACATTTCAAACAAAATAACGAACCGTTAAAATAAGTGTAGCAAATCTCAACGGAGTAAGGTAAGGATCAAAGATCTAATTAGTAGCAGCATTCCGTATTGTCATAAATACCTGGAAGGCGAGAGGTCTTCCTTTGACGGAGGACGGCTGTGGAATCTCTTGGGTGTGAGGTGTTCCTCGCTGTCTTCCTGAGTCGACGGATGGTAAGGATAATAGCAAGTCTTCTCCTTTCCTCTAACGGTCCTCATTAGCACTCTGCCGGAAGTGTACCTGCAAACATAGACAATCGGGCGCAGAATTTTAATGCGGGTGCCACGTCCTGAAAAGCGGCGGGCTAGCTGGCGGCGCGACTATTGTCGAGACTAGAATGTAAGGTAAAGTCGCGCCAAGTATGGACGGCATTATTGTTGCGGCACAATTTTCGCGCAATGACATCCCTGATCGCGATTTTTCTCCGCTAGTGCGACAAAAACCGTGCAAGCAGCGGCTTATTCATTATTTATTTCTTTATACATTTACCATATTTTAATATCTTCTCTAATCTTCGATGCTAAAATGTATCGATAAAAAAAGTTTGCAATGAAAATTTCTCCCTTCGATAAATTTCAATTTAATCAAATAAGAATTAAGAAAACTTTGTTTCGTATTACATTTCCTGTTAGGAAAACAGGAATAAATAATTCACATACGTATCTTTGGATAATATCCATTCTGCGATTATATTTTATACCAACCTGCTGGTTTCGAATTTATATTGAGGCCTCCTCATGACTAGAAGTCGCGGAAGAATGTGTATGAAAACTCTCTTCACCCAGGGTGCCATTTTGTGCGTCTGTGGTGAACGGAAGTGAACGTTGAGGACGACCACGGTAACGCATATACTGAAAACATAAAGAAACAAAGTCAGATCAGTCATATAATATTTTATAAGCAGGTTTAGGAAGAGCTCGTTGCTTATAACGAAGTTACAGTTACTTTTAGCGAAAACACTGTAACTAGATACTTATAAAATAATTTTCCCAACCTTGATTATAAGTAATTCATGAAATAAGCGTCAGCAACATATTTTGTCGTTATGTATCACAAGAATATCCACAATAATGTAAATAACATTCAGTTATATAACACGCCTTTGATCGAACGTAATTTAGAAACCAACTTTGTTGCGTACATTAAGGATTAGCATGGAAATGTTAATCCGACCAGTCGCACTCAATTTGCGATTATTGCAGCCCCAAAAGTAATACATATTGTATCCGTTTCGCATGGCAATGTTGATTAGAAGCCGACTGCAAAATTATTACCTACGACACTTAATGGAGGGGAATTCTAATGAAATTATTAATAAACCCTACTTCATTACGGCCAAGATTTTAATCCCCGTTAAGTCGGAGAAGAAGACTTGCTGCACATAGTGGACCATACGGTGCAATTATAGTTGCACAAGCTTTTCAAACCCCGCGGTGTAAAGCGCTTTGTTATGTTGATGGAAGCTAGTTTCCAGAAAAGAGAGAAACTTAAAAAAAACAACGAATTAAATTGTAATTGTCCGCGTGGCATACTATTATGTATATGGAGCAAGTCCTGAGGTTTAAGCAGATTAGAGGTTCCTTTACGGCGGATAACATCCAGAAGTTGTGAGAAAATGATGGATGTTTGCCAATTATGGATTTCAACTTGTGGAAACTTTACAAAATTTCCATTTCTGCCCCCCACGCGCGCCGTTATTTAATATCTTCCGCGAACGGCGATAATTTCGTAGTTTTACGGCACTGTCCGTTCTCGAAATCGGTCGTCGGGTCACGCGAGTTCATCGCGGCGCGAACGGAGGCAAATTGCCATAACGTACAACCAGAATTGATCTCGAAGGCAGAACGGAATGTAAATCTCACGAGACTATTCATAACGCAGATCTATTCGGCGATGGGAGATTCGGGCTGGGCAAAGGACAGGCCGCGGTTTAAATTGGATCCACTTCCTTTGACACGGCTTCAAACCATTTATCGGTTCGGGCTACGTCGCCGCAGCGACGTAAATTCCCGATCCCCCACGTCTGTTCGCTTTTTATCATTCCCGACGAGCTCGCGCGTTAGTCATTCCGGCAAAATGTGCCATAATGCTCGCGTATTAGGCGTTCTCCAAGCTATCTTCGCTCCAAACGTGTAATCCCGTACGACGGGGACGTGATAAGAAAGACATTTCCGGCAAAACACTATATAATCGCCAATTTTGAGATGAATTTCATAAGAATAAACCTTTTTTTTAAATAAAACGATCAGCTATTGTGTAAAATTTTTACATAAATTATGTCTTCTACTCTTTACCTCTTCGATGTAATAAGATATCCATTTTAATATCGTATTTTTAAGTTCAGCTCAACCTCTCAAATATCGCGTTTTAAATTTCCATAAATTATACATCGAGATGAAAGAGTCCACCATTTGACATGATGGACGTTTGCCAGTTAGATTTTGAGAGAAATTTCGGAAATATGTACGCAATCGTATAGATAATCAAGACTACTGCCAGATCGAAAATGAGTACACCAGGCTAATGCCAAGGATGCCACGCGCGGAATCTCGCACACATCCTAACGGAAATTCATAATGGTGCCGTTCCGAGGAGAGCGAAGTGATCCTCTTGAAATTCCACGGTGAGATGGGAAATTTGGCGCTATATATACGGTGTGGCAGGCGTTGCGCATTTCTTCGCGATTATAAATTCCTCTCAAGCTCAATCTCTTATCTTAGAAAGAAGACGCCCCTTCTTATTTATACCTCTTCAACTTTCTGCGTTAATACACCGTGACAATTAAACCTCAAAGTTAGGATACGCGCCCGTGAAAATTAAGCGATTAAAAGATAAAAACGTGCCAGTTTATTTACAAGACGCGCCGCGCCGCATTAACGTCTATAATTCTTCGAGTCTTTCAATCGCACGTAGCTTAACAGCTACCAATATCTCGGTGCTGCGGAACGAGCGGCATTCTTTTCTATTTGTTCCGCAACGTCCGCAATCACGGCAAGTGCGCAACACCTAAGCGAGACGCGCTGTACGTCTCAGGATTCAGCTCCACGGGTGGCTGGAGCCCAGCCTCGGTGAACGCTGCTACTGATTAATGTGTCACACCTACTGCATCCTTGCAGCGTCCGAAGCTATTAGGAGGTTTCCACACACAGCCGGCCACACACGCACGCATACATCTACACACACACACACACACACACTGGGAAGACACGTGACTTCCACTCAAACAACGGCCCGCATGCTGTCGGCCCAATTCGCCAATTTGCTGACTCCCTCGTCTTCAAGGAGACCCGCCGCTTTTCTCTTCGTTGCCCAAGTAGATCGCGCCATCGATTCAACCGGGGTGCGTCTTAGGGCACGAGACTATACCGCGCCCCTGTGGAAACACGTTCAACGTCCTCCACGTTCGATAATGGCTGACACTCGAGATTCGCTTTCAAGTTTCAAATCGGTGGACTTCAAACGTTTCGATGTCACATCCACGCCCTGCTATTATTTTATTTCCAAATTTCCTCTCGGGGGATTCGCAATTCCTCTCTGGACCACGATATTTTCATACATGCGTCTTCATTCGCGCATTTCGTGGGATGGAAATATTTTTTCTCGTTAGGAAGATAATGCATACGCGAAAGGATTAATTCTTTTTAGATAATGTTGTTTAAGACATTAATAATATTATACAGGGTGTCCCAGGAGGAAATATCAATATTCTGGGAGATAATAGTATCGGTCATTTTAAGCAAAAATGTTCGTATGAATATATGTCCCATTCTCCACTGGTTCCGAGATAAAGCTATTTGAACACCCTGCATATGAGGTTATTATAGTAATTGTGTTTATAATAATATATTTTATAAAATAATTATAATTATTACAGGAATATCATATACACGGAGAGAACTTTTCTTCACTTTACCCTGAAAATCATGTAATCGTAGGACAACATGGCATTTCAAAGAATTTCATGAGAGTTTATTGAAATTTTCCCATACATTTTACTAGTAGAATGTATAGAAAAATTTCAAAAACACTCACAAAGTAGTTCTCTAAAATGCCACGTTGTCCCACGATTACATAATTTTCAGGGTAAATTTTAAGAGAAAGTTCTCTACGTGTACAGTACCGGCCAAAATTGTATCTTTCGATCCTTTGAACATATAACTTTTAAAGTATACGAATGACAAACTCGAAAATCATGGTGTACTTTGTCCAATTTTCTCACTCGTCATATAGGTACAAGATGAACTTGTTATCAGGTTTCGACTGTAAAATTTTTAGCACATTCGATGCACTTTGACGAAAGTTATGCTCAGAAAACCTAAAGGTGATACAATTTTGGCCGGTACTGTATGTACAGTGGGTTTAGTTAAATACTTTTATTCTGTAGTGCGTTGAGTCTCGGAAATTTGTGCATCTAATTAAGAAGAACTTCTGTAAGGCGCACAACGTTGAGCGCAAAAATTGCGCCAAAAGTTGCGCCATTAAGAAGAGCCGTCTTCATTAATATCAGCTTCGTGAAACGGGAGAGGCCTTGAAGGAAAAGCTCGAATATCAAATATTTTCTTGGAAATAATAACTCGCAATGGCTGCCGGATGGTTGTTACGCAGTTTCCTTTTTCCTTCCCTCGTTTCTTCTTTTTCCTCTCATTGAGGGCCAAATCCGCTCCAGAGGTAAGTAATCTTCATCTCGCGCTCGTCCTGGCTCGACTTGGCCGCGTAATCCAGAGAAATATTGCAAATTCGAGAGCTACCAGGGAGTAAAAAGCCTTTCGCTGTTCTAAGACGTTCGCGGACGTGGAATGAATCGTGAAATCGCGGGACGCTCCTCTACCGATTCTCCGAGCAAAGGGCCATTAAGTCTCGGATGCGCGTAGTCTATTGCTCGCATTTGCCAGTGTGTATCTGAGAAGAAGAAATATGTTCTTCCACTCGCGCCACCGCGGTTCGCGCTGTGCGAGCTAACGCGCTGAAGGCCAATTTACATACGTACTCTTTGCGTTCGAATTAAAGTACCCTCTCGCCACTGGCAAGACCCGGCGATAAAAACGCACGTCTGGAGCAACGCCATTTTTTATTGCTCTGAACAAAATTAAATGACGTTACGCTTCGTGCCTCAGAGCTCCCCTAACGTGGAAGTGGAAAGTGGGACGTCGTGCGTGTGGTTCTTTGGAACTTTGGTGAAACGCAAAGTTCCCTTGCGTCGAAGGGGACACTTTCGACCTTCTCTGCGAATCGGCCGCGTCATGCCGAGGAGAAGCGACGTCCTACAAATTTCCAAGTCGCTTCATCATCGTCGGCCATCAGTCACGTAGAAAAGAACGTTGCGCGAGACGGGACTAAAGGGTCCGAGGAAGCTTTACAAAAAAATATGGGGAAAACGCGGAAGGAAGTTTATGAAAAATGTGGGAGATCGCGGGAGAAAAAGTGCCGGTTGAAAGGTACGGGTGTAAAACCGCGCGACAATAGTAATAACGAGAGTTTTCGACATTAGGCTTTTCAAAGACGACGAGGACCGATGAATTATTATCGTGCGATGTAATTTTTTAAAACGTTATTCACCGTATGGTCAAAATTTTCCCCAGAGTAGAGTTACGAACAATCCAAATAATTCGATTACTAATTGTGGGCCCCAAGATGAGTTGCTAACTGTCTTTTTTTTCCCAGAGTGTCTAAATGATTCTAATTTTTAAATTCATTGCGAAAAATTTACCTCAGCCAGGGTTTGAACCTGGACCTCCCTCTCGCTAGGCGAGCGTCTCACCAATTCGACCATCGAGGCATGTAGACGCCTGCCTAGTGAGAGGGAGGTCCAGGTTCAAACCCTGCACTGAAAAAAATTTCTGGTTGAATATGG